TTCAGTTAGAAAAATAAAACTTCGAGGCTAAAAGATGGCGACACGTACGTCACCGCAACCTGGACTTTATGACCCTCTGGTATTTTGCCTAAAACCTTTGAAACAGTGCATCACTAGTAGAAGAGTTTATTTTGTAGAAACGACTACAAAAGAAGCTCAGAAGACCGGTTAGTCTTAGTTCTAACATCGGCCCTTCAGGGGTGCCTCTTATTGAAACGCATTTGATAAAGAATTATTATTTATAATTAATTATACAGCATGATGTAGATACTAAAAGAAGAGTCTCAACAATGGTCTTAACCCATCAATACATCTGAGTTGGTTTTAGAGGACCCCCCTCTTAGGGGGTCTGGGGGGGGACGACCCAGATCCAAAAGTCCGTGCACACACTGGAAAAAATACAATGAATGTCACCTGCGGAAACTAAGGTCCGTAAGAGAATTTGGAATAATTTTGGTAAGAGGAAACAGAAACTTCCCTATATAACGTGAGAATGAAGTCTGAAATTATTATAAACACGACGTTTCTCATTACTAATGACCGTCGCTAAAAAACAACTTATCTAAACTACCAGTTGGAAGGAGGCGGGCGGCCAACACTTAGATGATCACTGATTCCTTTTCACCCTAGGGGCCTCCGGCTGGTCAACTCTTGGTGACCTAATACTCCCTCACCAATCAGTCAAGTAGTTGTACGTCTTCCGAGACAGACAGACTCTTCTAACAGACCATTTTGTTCATCTATTCGCTGGCTTAGTAAAGTCAAACTAAAACACCACAAACCAAAACCAAAGATTGTACAAACCCGGTAAAACTAAACAGAAACCAAATTTTTCATTAAACGTCTGTTAACCTAACAGGAAACAAAGGGCCTGGTTTTTCGTCTTGTGTAACGTACCTTTACCAAGGGTGTGTAACCGTTAAAAGAGGGTGTTAGTGTGATTGATGGTTCATTATAATCAACTATAATTCTCTATATGACTTGACCTTTCTTGTCGGAAAACAAAAATCGGGGGTTTTTTTTATAAATGAGACAAAGATCTAAGTCAAGTAGTTAGTACCAATAAAACGATTTTAAGTTTGAGGACTAGAAGTTAAAGGACTAAGAATAATGAATAATGTAATAGTCATTAAAAGTGTAGTTTGAACAACCTCTTTATTCTTTAGGTTTCTTCCTGGAGTATTACTATATCACCGTTGTACTTGAAACCCTATTTAGTATCAGCGAACTGAATAAAACAGTTAAACACTATACTTTTTATGACTGTTAACTAGAGTAAGGACTAAGAGAACAAAAAAGAAACCCATGCACCACAACAGAGACTGCAGAACCCAGAATCTCAGAAATCTTCTGTTACTATCTGAGTCTCCTCTGTGTGTTCATCCGTATAAATTAACAAGACATAACCTATCTAACACACCAAGCTGCGCTTCCTTTTTTCTGACACGTAGTTGATTTATCTTGGTATGTATGATCAACGGTAGGATACTGTTGACAACTCATATAGTATAACGCGTTATGCCACGATAATCTTACTCTGAATCACCCTCCTGACAACGTACATAGATGCCAAAACTAAAACGAAATTCGTCAACAGCCGACTATCATTAACTACACGGAATTGCTCTCCACCTCCTACATTATCACACGACCGTATAATGTAAGACCACCTCACAGTCATGATCTCAAATAGAAAGATCCGCTCCTCACACCACAACCAAACCATTCCTCAATGGTCACTTTTCTCTTTTTGTTAAAAGTCATGTAGGAGTAAAGCCCACATTTCTAAGTGAAACCTGTTCTCGACCTGACATCTACGACCTGTTATTGGTACATCCCTTGAGGGTTAAAAATTCTTGAGACTTGACATAAATGAGTGAGACGACCAAGAACACCTAGGATCGTAACATTATGCTAACTGTCTTACTGTAAGGCACTTATCATTTCATCGTCTACACTTGCCATACCAAAATATTAGGCCTAACTTTCATTATTTACTAACACACACTTCAACATGAGTCCCAATATACTTAGAACCACCAATGATCTAATGTCCCATTCTCTGACACTACCGCTGAACGTGTCGTAGCTACACGAAATGACCGTGACACACCAACAGGCCCAAAAAAAAAGGGAATTTTTTGTTTCAATTTTTTTTTTTTCACTCACACTTCTGCGACCCACTCGAAACGGGTACGCGACCCACTTTTGGGTTGCGACCCACCAGTTGAGAACCACTGCTCTAATCCACTACATATAGTTTACCTATTTCAGCCAAATTCTTGCAAAAATACATAAAAAAGCAAACCGAATGCACCCGTCGCTTACGTATCTGTTTTACCAGACGATCTTCAGACAGACAGACTTCTGCAAATAGCGGATGGACTCTAATCCACTACATACATAGGCTACATAGTTTACCACTGTTTCCTTGTATTTCAGCCAGAACTTCCACTACATACTGTATGTCAATATAAAACAACAATTTCACCTTTAAATCAAGCGGCACCTTCCTAATTGGTTGTCAATAGTCTCTAGGGACCAACAGGAGCCAGAACCAGTGACTTCCACCATCTGTTTGGGTCTGATACTTCAGCAGGTGGCGCTTGTTTGGACACTAGGGTTTGATCACGCTGTCCTTTTCTGGCAGGAGGAGCCAACCAGTCGCTCAGCCAGCTCCCGTCCAACAGACACAATTAGAGACACTGCTTATCAGCGGGTAATTACAAAGCAAAGACAGAAACAGTGGGGCAGAGTCTCTCATCGTGATCACACAAGTGTTCTGCACATTTCTGGGGGAAAAGCCACTGATAATAACACACTCATTTAGCAGGCATTGGTGACCATTCATCACTCATTGAACAACTCAATTCTGGGTCATTATTACAGCTCATCGGCTCATCTCAAAGGCGGTTTGCTGCGAGCTGTTTGATTTAACCCAGACAATGGTTAAGATAGCAGAGGCTTAGCTAATGAATACAGGAGTGTGTGTTCTTGTGTGTTTTCCGGACTCACCCTCAGGGCCTCGATGACCAGGTCGCGGGCCTCCAGCTCTCCCTCCATGATGCTCAGCAGGGTGAGCAGCTCGGGCTTGCTCAGGTTATCCATGTTGAACTCACATTTCTGCAACACAGGCCGAAAGAAAATAAATGTCAGATTTGTATAATACATTTAACAGTTCATTGTCAAAGTAGGGATTGGCGTTGGAGCCTTGATTCTTCTTTAATAGCCATCAAAAAAGCTGCTTTTTTTATTATTCGTTGACCAGATTTTAGAATCAGAACCAACTTTATTGGCAAATTATGATTGCGCTACAAGGAAACTGACACTGCTCTAAATATACACAGACAAACAGAAAAGAAAGGACAACATAGCTGAACAAATTATAGTAGTGTATAAGATTATTATGTATTGTATGTAAAAAATAGCGATCTTTGTTAATACTGTATTATGTCTGAAAATGTACTTTTAAATGAAGTATTTTTGCACACTTGTACTTCCACTTTATTAGGTATTATATCTCAATAATGTTTCCACCACTGTAGTTTGGGCACGTTAACAAATAGCATATTAGCTAAATGTTTCTCCATCAATACACAAAGCCAACTGTACAGGTCATCATTATCACAGTGGACAACTAGAACAGCACATGTGTCTGACTTGTAGAGAACCATTAAATGCAAAACCACTGCTACGAGTAAAACATCTCAATAATACCGGTAAGGGCAACCTAAAATTGCAGTAGACTTGTCCTGTAGCGAGCGAGTGACGAAACTATCGCGCTTCCAGGCAAATGCGCCAACGATTCGTTGGTAGAATACCCCCTTTACGTTCGACACAGGTTTACTCAACCTTTCTATTCCTCCTTCCTGTTAGTTAGACATATTCGTAGATAAGTTACCTCACACAGCGGTTCCATTGGCCAATCTTGAGGTTCAACCGCTACTACCAGAATTTTACATACCTTTCCCAGAATTTTTTTCCAGAACTTTATATAATGTAAACTGAACTCCTAAGGTACATAATGGACAATTTATATTTGTAGAGTTTTATCTTTATCTTATTTTGGTCATATACTCATCTTTTTTATGTCTACTGGCACCTTCTTCTATTGTTTAGATATTTGCCCAGACTGTTTATTTTTCCTCGAAGATATTTCCAAATAAAAATCAAACCACAAGAACCGACAACTCGAGGAAGAAACCATTTATAACAGCTACTGTAAAGTCTCAAATAAACTGACCTGGTTGTGAACGGGTTTCCCTTGGATCGAACTTTTGTTTTTTTTTTCTAAAAACCAACCTGTAAGGCACTTTTTAGGTCTCCTACTAGACGACTGAAAGGTAATACATTTTGGTTTTTGTCGATTTGTACACTAGTAACGAGCCTATTGAGGTGTAGCTTTGTAAAGAAATTAGACTCGATTTAAACTTCTCTTACGATTGTACGATTACCACGGTAATGGCACAGTACATCCCGTACCAACCACAACAAGACACTATAGTCGTGAGAGCATAACA